GGTGGGAACTGTCTCCAGGGTAAGTGAGGTGTTAAAGATGTCTGCCAGCACCTCACAGAGCTGATCAGCACATTCCTTCAACACTTTTCCGGGGATGTTGTCTGGGCCAGTTGCCTTGTGCGGATTAATCCTCCTGAAAGTACTCCTTACTTCTGCTGAGGTCATGCTGAGATGCTCTTCATCCGGTAGTGAGGTGAGTCTGGTGCTGGGTGGTCTGTTCGGGTCTTCAAAGCGTGCATAGAACTTGTTGAGGGCATCAGGCAGAGATGGGTCTTTGGGACATTGTTCGCTCCTTCATTTATAATCTGTTTTGCACTTAATGCCCCTCCACATGCTCCGAGGGTCTTGTGAGATGAATTGCCCCTCGATCTTCTTTGCATATGTGGCCTTGGCCCTCTTAATACCAGCAACCAGCTCTTTTCTTGTCCTACTCAGCTCCTCTGAATTTCCAGACCTGAAGGCAGTGTTCCTGGCTTCCAGCAGGGTACGCAGCTCTGCATTCAGCCAAGGTTTTCTGTTTGGGTAGCCTTTAACATTTCTGATAGTGGAGACGGTGTCAGTACATGTACTAATGTAACCCAGAACTGGGATGTGTATTGGTCAAGATCAAGCAAACCTCCATTTTCAGCAGCTTCTCTGAAAACCTGCCAGTCTGTTCGGTCAAAACAATCTCTCAGTATGGGGCCACTGTCCTGGATCCAGCATTTAACTTTCTTTTGTACCGGTCTGAAGCGTCTCAGCGGGGGTATGTAAGCAGGAGCCAGGAAGATTGAGATGTGGTCTGACAGTCCTAGGTTGGGGCGGGGTTCGGCTTTGTATGCATCTTTTACGTTCGTGTAAACATGGTCCAGCGTCTTGTCTCCACGTGTCGGAATTATCACATGTTGATTAAAGCTCGGGAGACAGTCCTTTAGATTCACGTGGTTAAAGTCTCCGGCTACCACGTAAAGAGCCTCGGGGTGTTTGTTCTGCAGCGAGCTGATGATATCATGTAGCTCCTGTAGTGATTCATTAGCATTAGCGTCCGGAGGAATGTAAACGACAGAGATGATTGTCACCGTGAACTCGCGGGATAGATAATGTGGCCGACATTTCACTGTTATTTGCTCCAAAGTCTTCGAGCATGAGCTATTTACAACAGTACAGTTCGTGTACCAAATTTTACTCACGTAAATGCGCACTCCGCCTCCCCGTGATTTCCCCGTTAGCTCGCTGCAGCGGTCCGCTCGAAAAAAAAGTCTGTCATCCAGGTGGAAGACTGTGTCCGGCGTTTCGCTTGTAATCCACGTTTCCGTGAGGCAAAGCACTGCACAATTCTTCATCTCTTCTGAGGCGCCCGCTCTCAGACCAAGTAAATCCATCTTGTCCAGATGACATGATTCAACCTTTTTTGTTGTTATATACCTGGATGACTGAGAAAACAAACTTTGTGTTTTTGAAACCATTAGTGAAAAGGCCAGACTTCAGGGGTATCTGAGGCAGGCTTGAAACACAAGAGTCAGGGTGGCTTCTGGGCAATACCAGATGGCTAGGCCTCAGACTGACAAAGCCTCTTGGATGAGGGGCGAAACGTTTCTTTTTAACAAAAAAAAACGAAGTCCAGATGACATGATTCAACCTTTTTTTGTTGTTATATACCTGGATGACTGAGAAAACAAACTTTGTGTTTTTGAAACCATTAGTGAAAAGGCCAGACTTCAGGGGTATCTGAGGCAGGCTTGAAACACAAGAGTCAGGGTGGCTTCTGGGTAATACCAGATGGCTAGGCCTCAGACCGACGAAGCCTCTTGGATGAGGGGCGAAACGTTTCTTTTTAACAAAAAAAACGAAGTCCAGATGACATGATTCAACCTTTTTTGTTGTTATATACCTGGATGACTGAGAAAACAAACTTTGAGTCTATCAAATACTTGTTCTCCCCACTGTATCTTGCACTAAAGACATTAAGGTTTACTTGCATTCCCTGTTCAATTCCAGTCTGGAAAAACACTTGTCTCCAAAATTACAAACATTCACTGATCCCTCAGCGGCGGGGGACCTTGACAACAAGTAGTAGCTTCGTACATGAAGACTTTTCTTGTGGTCCCACAGCTCATCCTGCCTTTCGATGTGAAGTTCCGCATCAAGGGGAGAGATGTTGTGGTGGACATCCAGCGGCGCTCCATCAAGGTGGGCCTGAAGGGTCACCCCCCTGTCATCGACGGTCAACTCTACAACGAGGTGAAGGTGGAGGAGAGCTCCTGGCTCATCGACGATGGGAAGGTGGTCGCAGTCCACCTGGAGAAGGTGATCTCATGGGGAGTTGTCCAGAAACAGGTTCTCAGCTCTTCAGGGTTGGTGCAATCGAGTCACATGGTGTTGTTTGGTTTCAGATCAATAAAATGGAGTGGTGGAGCAGGATTGTTACCACAGATCCTGAACTTAACACCAAAAAGATCTGCCCTGAGAACTCAAAGGTAGGAAATATAGCTCTTTTACAATTCATTGCTGAAAACCTCACCAACATGTTTCTGATTATTTTTATTTTTATTCTGGGGCAGCTGTGGCTGAGTGGTTAGAGCAGTCGCCGTCCAATGCAAAAGTTGGGGATTTGAATGCACAAGCAGTCACATTCCGAAGTGTCTCAGGGCAAGACACTGAACCCCTCGATGCCTCCGATGTGTGTCCCATCGGTGTATGAATGTGATGTAAAGCACTTATTAGTCTCTTTAGAATGATTTGTTCAATTAGCTTTATAGAGATCTAGTAGAGTGTTGTATGTATGGGTAAATGAGGGCACAGATTGTAGTGTAAAGTGCTTTGAGTGTCTCGATAAGATAGAAAGGCACTATATAAGTACAGTCCATTTACCATTATTTCACGTCCTGTTTTCTGCCGAGCAGCTGTCTGACCTGGACGGAGAGACTCGTGGGATGGTTGAGAAGATGATGTATGACCAGAGACAGAAATCTATGGGTCTGCCGACATCTGAGGAGCAGAAGAAACAAGACATCCTCAAGAAGTGAGTTCACAGTTAGAAAAGTGCTCCAACGCTTCTTTGATTGACTCCAACCCGTAGTGGAGGTGGGTAAACCCCTTTGATTTCGTCCTGTGGGGCATCATTGTTTATGTGGGGGGTATCGGGGCTGGGGGCATGGGGGGGTTTTGGGCCCGGGGCAATGGCGTTCAACTGGGGAGGTGGCTTTGGTGTTTCTGGGTATTGACCTTTGCTGGCTGCATGCAGGCTTCTGGGTGGTCTGTACCTGCGGGTGCAGGTTACTGGCCTGGTGGCCTGGCTGCTCCTGGGTGGGTTTGAGGTGGGTGCGGGTTCGGGGTTCTGGCGGAGTGTTGCTCCCGGGCTGGGGTCCCGGCTTGACCCGGGGGTCTCGGGTCTTGGCGGGTATCTTGTCTGGGTCTTGGGCCGGCACATGCGCCTGGCCATGGCCTGGGGGCCCTTGGTGCACTGGTGGGCTTTGGGGCTTCTACCATGGGGGGAAGATGGGCCATGGGAGGGGATGGGTGGATTAAAAAAAAAAGTGCTTCAACTCTAAAGCAAGTCTTAACAAAGCATGCCAGATATGTTATTTATTTGATATTCTCTGATTATGTAGAAGTTCCAGACAAATTAAAAAATAAAAATTAGCATACATCAGCTTCATGTACTATATTTAGTTCTGTACATGTTTGTATTATGAAATTCTTTATCAAAAGGGCTCGTGAACGGTCGGCACA